GATTCCTTTTGTTTGGGGTTCTGTGCACTTTCTGTACTTGTAAGTCTATTTCTTTCACCAGGTGAGGGAAGTTTTTGGTTATTATTTCTTCAAATAGGTTTTCAGTATCTTGTTCTCTCTTTTCTTCTGACGCCCCTATAATTCTGATGTTGGTACGTTTGAAGTTGTTCCAGAGACTTCTTACACTATTTTCAACTTTTTGGATTCTTTTTGCTTTTCCAGTTGATTGTTCTTTACTTCTTTGTATTTCAAACCTTTGACTTGATTCTTGCATTCCTCTAGTCTGCTATTAAGTTTCTGTAAAATACTTTTTATTTTAGTCAGTGTATGTTTAATTTCTAATTGCCCCTTTTTCATATCCTCGAGTCTCGTTAAATTTATCAGCCTTTTCTAGGAAATTCTTGAAAATCTTATTACCGTGGTTTTGAACTCTGTATCCAGTCATTTGTTCTCCTCCATTTCTTTCATTTGTGATCTGTAACCTTGTCTCCTTATTTTTGCTGCTTCTCTGAGTTGGTAGGGTGGCTTTGTGTGCTAGCTGTCCTATATGGTTCAATTGGTCAGCCTCCCAGTTACCTGAGGTGGACACTCTTGGTGCACCCCTTTATGGACTGGTTGTACAGCCTTGTAGTTAAGTCTTAATTGTTGCTGATGTCACTGGGAGGAATTGACCTCTAGGCCACTTGGCTGTGAGGACCTGCTGTGTCTATAATAGAAGAATTGTTGTGCTAGAAACATGCTTATTGGGCAGGACTTGTTCCAGTGGGGCTTTGGTGCTCACTGAGTCTACCTATTGAATGTGTTCCTTATGAGAGTAATTGAAATCTTGTCTCATCTCACACAGACCACTAGATTTATTAGCTTCTGGATCTCCAATGGGGTGCAGGTCAGCTACTGTCTGAGGCCACCAGCAGGAGCTATAGCAAAAACTATAGTTTTCTCCTCTTTGCTTGGGGTTTGGAGATTTTGGAGCTATCTGACTGGAGCTGCAGTTAGTTTGGTTAAGCTGTGACAGGGCAGGCCATTTATATGTAAAAGCTGCTGCTCAGAGCTTGTGTGTATTTGTAGATGTGAGGGTCTGGGTCTCAGGGAGTCTCTAGGCTAGGGTGTGGCAAACAGCAATGGCTGCCAGTCTGCCTTTCTCCGTTTTCAAGTCCCCATGTCCCGGGTCCCAGCATAGTAAACAATGATTGCTGCGCACACCTCTGCAAGAAAGTCACCCTCTCTTTCCGACCCAATGGCCGACATTCCAGCTTCTCCCTGTAGGAGTTTGGGTCTCCGTGACTCCCCAGAAACTGGATTTCAGAGTAATTGGAAGCTTGTCTCCCTTCTGTGTGAAAAAAAACAGCGCACCCAGTTGCCCGCCGCCAGCCCGATTCATGCACCTCTGTAACTCAACTTTTCAGCACTATGCTCTTTTCTGTTTCCTTCTACCCTGTTTCCCTGAAAATAAGACAGTGTCTTATATAAATTTTTTCTCCCGAAGTTGCGCTAGGTCTTATTTTCAGGGGATGTCTTATCTTTCCATGCGCTAGGTCTTATTTTCGGAGAATGTCTTATTTTGGGGGAAACGCGGTAGTTGTAGAACTTCCACTCAGCCAACTTTCCCGTGGTTCTGGGTGATAGATATTTTATCTTTTAGTTGTAGTTTTGAAATTGTTGTGCGAGGCAGCAGTTTAGGTGTTTACCTATCCTGCCATCTTGGTTTCTCTTCCCTTGCATATTTTTAAAAAGGTGTTTATTTTACCCTTGCTCTTAAATGATAGTTAGACTGAATTTAACATTATGTTTCCTCAGAACTTTTAAGATATTACTCCATGGAATCCTAGCTGGTGGCTCAGTGGATAAAGTGTCAGCCTGGGGTTTGAAGGATCCCGAGTTCGGTTCTAGTCAAGGGCACACGCCCAGGTTGTGGCCCTGATCCCCAGTAGGGGGCATTCATTAAGCAGGCAATCAATGATTCTCTATCATCAATGTTTCTATCTCACTTTTTCTCTGAAATCAATAAAAATATGTATATATATTTAAAAGGCAATACTCAATGGTTTGCTAGTTTTCATTGTTGCTGGTGAGAATTTTTATGTCAGTCCTCTAATTCTCAATCTTTATTCTTCTTCCTAAAAATTTAAGATTTCCTTTAGCTTTCAAGTTTTGATATTTTACAGTCAACTGTATAGGTATCGACTTCTTGCTTCTATTTGCTCAGTACTTGATGGATCCTTTTCATCTGAAGGTTTCTCCCTGATTCTCTTGGACATTTTCATTGGTAATTTTCTCCTGAACACTATTTCTCTTCTGTTTCTGGAATACTTATTAGACAGCTATTGAAACTTCTAAATCTATCCACTCAGGCTCTTAACTTTTTTACTTACAGTTTCTTTGTCTTATTTGTATATATTTTTTAGAGAGTCCTCAGTACTCTTCTGTTTTAATAATTTACTTTAAAATTCTGTTTACTGTGAATTAAGTCTGGTTACATGACAATATATGTGTCTGGGAGCAGTATGCTTTCTCTGTGTATACCATATTATAATTTGTCCAGAAATTAACAAATATAGCAATCCTAGGGTATGTGTATTCTTTGTATATTCAACAAATCTAAAAATAGAAATTTCCTGCGAAATTTTTAAATTCTCTGTAACCTCTATGGTGCCCCCTGTAGTGTAGATTGGCACCTACAGACATGTCTTCTGTCCCATAATTTGTCACAGTTTCCTTCGATTTCCTCTCTTTGTTGTGCTATGTGTATCTCTCCTTTAGAGTTTGGTGATTTCCTCATCTCTTTGGCAATTTTGTGTTGTGTGTGTGATTTGCTCATATTTGTTCATTTCTTTGGTGGTTTTTGTGATTTGCTCATATTTGTGTTTTACAGTTTGATCACTGCTCGAGTGGTCAGTGGCTTATGGCCCTTGATTGTGAGGGAGGGGCAAGGGTGCTAGTGCTTGTGTCCTGGTGTGGGTGTTCTTCCCTCCTGAGGCAACTACCTGTGACATGGCACTGTTCTGCAGCCTAGTATGCATCCTTGCTGCTTTAGCCCAGGATATGTGCCTCTGTTGACTGATGCTTAGCGCAAGCTGGGGGATAGGGGGAATAGGAGGACCTAATTGGCCCAGCTGTTCCAGATGCAGCTTGCCGACTAATCATCCTTATGTGTGTCTGAGTGTGTCCATTGACTCTGGCTTAAAGATGTCTTCTAACCGGTCCTATTTTTACAGACATCCTCTACGCTACATGTAGTCGCCTGTGGCTTTCTTGAGTTTCCTCCCTCCCCATTTCCCCTGCCATAAATTTGACCTTGTCTGCTTTCAAGAGACTGCTATTAGTCTTTTCTTATCATCCTGTGCATTTACAATTTGTGTTTAAGTAAAATGTAATTTCCTTAGAAAATTCTGTTTCCCCTAACCACCCAATTTAAAATAACTTCCCAATTTCTATAACATCACTTAAGGTAATTTTTATTATAGTATTCATCTCCACCTAATACATATTTATCTATGTCAGTCTTTCAAGACCTACTAGTAAATGTCAACTTCATTAGGGGCCTATTAGTTCTGCTTACTGCTTAGTCCCAAGTGAGATACAGTGTCTGGTATATGGTACACATTCATTACAATAGTTGAATTAGTGATTTTATTGTTTTCTTTTTAAGTTATATGTCACATTTGCTTGAATTACACAAATTTTTGATTTTCTAATAGGAACTAGGCTTAGCAAATAGTCTATATTAACCTCTCTGTTTAAGACAGAAAGCCTTTAATAAACAAATAACTGCCTTTGACCAAAAACTATACATTACCTGGACTAATGTAAAATGTAAAGGTCTTAACCTCTAGCACTTTAATCTACATGTCATTAAATAAAATTTGGGGAAAGAAAGTAAAACTTTGACTTTCTAAGAACAACATTACAAAATGACCAGAAAAAGTCATAATCCTATTTGTTTATAGTTTCTATGATTATATGAAATCAAGTCTGTTCTCACGTAAATTATAAGTTGAAGTGCATCATATTCTTCATTCCATATTATTATGGAACTTCTTTTTTTAGAGGGAGATGGAGAGAGAAACATCAATGTGAGACCAAAACATCTATTGGTTGGCCCCTAGGCATAGCACCCCCATTCCCCCACCTATCTCCCAACCCTCCCAGGATCAAGCCTGTAACCCAAGCTTGTGCCCGCCCTGACTGGGAATCAAACCCATAACCTTTTGGTACACAGGATGATGCCGAACCAACTGAGCTACCCCAGCCAGGACTGGAACTTCTTTAGCAAACTCAAATTTCCAAATTCTTAAATTGAGTTAAAGATTCCCTGTATGAAATAAATGTTTTACTTTTGTTCCCTGTATCTCTTTGAGTTAATTTGGTAGCTCTAGTTAGCTGACCAGCCAACATGTGATAATAATGAACAATTTTCAATGAAAAGTCATTATTTTGAGGGTTACCCCTTAATTATATTAGAACACCAGAAAAATTTACCTAGATACAAACAGATTCAATGCTCAGGTAATAACTCCATGAATGAAAATTAAATTCCAAATAGGCCTCTGTTGCTATTTTTTTTTTTCAGTCTCCATTTAATATTACAAACTATTATAACATTTTCCCAAATTATATTGAATGTTAAGAAAAGATTTATGAGAATTTGTTCTAATCAACTAAGAATGCTTTTTTAGTTTGACCTATGTAAAATAAAAATAATTCTAGGTATATAAAAAATAATTACAATATTTTTATTTTCTATATAGAGATCAAATTTATTTCCACATCTTTTTCTTGAAAATGTTTTAAATTTATACTCAAAAAAAGTAAAGAGGAAGTCACTTTATAGAAAATAATCAAAAGTTATCTGTTCCATAAAACAAAGAATATTTATATGTGTGCAGTTTGGAAGTCTGTACTTACTTATACTCCTACCATCAAGAAGATGAACTTAATTAGCCTCGTAGCTTTATAATTCTGAGGAAACTACTTTGATTTTGTTGTACTTTTCTTTTTAGGTAAAGATGCACTTTACACAATTCCAGTGAAAAACATTCTTGCTGTGGAAAAACTGGAAGATAGCTCTTTCAACAAAAAAAATGTAAGCACAGAAATACTTAAAGCTTTTTAAACTGCTTATAATTACTTAGTTGAAAAATTTCCAGAGGTTGGTCATTTTAATGTTTGCCATTAATCACTAGTATTTTACAATTGCTGTGTAGAACGTCTTAAAATTGTCCGTTATTGTTGATGCGTTGGTGGCGTCTGCCTAGCCTATTAAGTTAATGGCACTTTTCTCAATATTACCCGATTAAACTTCTCAGCTTGACATTTAAGACTTTAGTAATATATTCTCAACCAATCTGTGCAATCCTATCTTCTGCTGCCATTCAGTGCATACCATTATATCTAGCCAACCAAGGTGATTTCCCACTGCTTTGCTTTGTTTTGCTCTATTTCCCACTGCTTTGCCATTATGTATACTTTTCCTCCATCTGAAATTCTCTCCCTTTATTCCTATTTATGTGATAGTCCGTTCCTTTGGCCAGATGTGGCTTCTAAAAATTATACAGTGGTTAACAGTTTAGTATCATGTGACTCAGATTGTCCTTGCTTGAAAAGGAACAGTTCATAAGCTACTTCAACCACAGTTATCTAGCCAAGAAAACTATATTTCTGTGATAAACCTTTTTTTGTTTTATACTGTGTGTTGATTTTTAAGACTGTCACTAACTTTTTGTCTTATTTGCCTATAAAGATGTTCCAAGTAATTCATACGGAGAAACCACTCTATGTCCAGGCAAATAATTGTGTAGAAGCTAATGAATGGATAGACGTACTCTGCAGGGTGAGCCGGTGCAATCAGAACAGGCTCAGCTCTTATCATCCCTCTGCATATCTGAATGGCAGCTGGCTCTGCTGTCAGGAGACCAGTGAACATGCTCTAGGCTGCAAGCCATGTACTGCGTAAGTTTCTTCCTGATTAAAAAGTAGTGTTTCAAATGTGGTCTAACTGTACAATAGAATATTACTCAGCCACAAAGTGAAATTACTCAATGAAAGAAGCCAGACAAAAAGACCATATACCTTAGGATAATATTTATATAGTGTCCAGAATAGGTTAATTCATAGAGACAGAAAGTAGAATAGCAGTAGCATGGGGCAGGAGGACAGGAGGGCAGGAGGGATGGAGAGTGCTAATGGATAAAGAGTTTCTTTTTAGAGTGATAAAAATGTTCTCAAATTAATAGTGGCTGGCACAAGTCAGAAAAAAAGGGTCACGTAAACTTGAGCCAAGACATCAAGGAAAAAGGGCTAAGCATTCTCTTTTTAAAATGTTTTTATGATGTTTTTATTTATTTCAGAGAGAGGAAAGGGGAGAGGGAGAAAAGGATAGAAACATCAGTGATGAGAGAGAATCATTGATCAGCTGCCTCCTGCCCCCCACCAGAGGTCAAGACTGCAAAACAGGCATGTGCCCTGACTGGGAATTGAACCATGACCTCCTGATTCACTGAGCCACATTGGCTGGGCTAAGCCATCTCTTTTCTGATTGCATAGAGCAGCTATTGAATTAAGAAGTAATATGTTACTATTGAGATGAAGCATAGGTTATGAAAATAATTTCACTTTTAAATTCCTCCTTCTGATTCGAATTGCATAATAACCAATTGGCCCTGTTTAATTTAATTACAAAATGTGACTAGATTTCTTAGGTTCCTTCTGCAAAATTCTGTGGTTTTGTTTTTTAGTCTCAAACTGTCAAAAGTGTTTGACATGTTAACAAAGTGAAATTTTTTCAATGTCTTTAATTTCATTTTTACCATAGAGGTGTTCCTGCAGACATCCAGATAGATATTGATGAAGACAGAGAAACAGAAAGAATTTATTCCCTTTTTACCCTCAGTTTACTTAAGCTACAGAAAATGGAAGGTAATGCATGATTAAAATATTTTTATTTAACCACGTTCCTTAATTACCAATTCCTGAAGTATTGCTTTGGCATTATCTCAAAGTTAGAAATAATCATATTTACCAAAATGTTACTTATATGACAAAAAGAGGGAGAATTTCTCATAGATATATTCATGAAGTAAAAATGCTATTTTTGCATAAATGTAAGGATCATAATCAATAAAATGAATGTATTTTGGTTATCTGTGCATTTCCAGGGGAAATCTCCCCAGGTTGAGACACTTGAAAAGTTCTTATTTCTACTACTAATTACATTTATGGAACATAGTTGTCTGATCAGAGATTTTGCTGCTCCTTGTAGAGGCTTGTGGAACTATAGCAGTGTATCAAGGACCACAGAAAGAACCTGATGATTATTCAAACTTTGTTATCGAGGATTCTGTAACAACCTTTAAGACAATTCAGCAAATAAAAAGCATCATAGAGAAGCTAGATGAACCTCATGAAAAGTATAGGAAGAAAAGATCAAGTAGTGCAAAATATGGGAGCAAGTAAGTATTTTTAAGGTACTTTTTAAACATATTAGGTCTAGTAATAATTAATGTCGTTTTCTAATACCTTTTTTTTAAATCGAATTTATTTAAACAATACAACAAAATTTAATCAACTATAAATATAGTTGCCGTTGTTTTCTACTACTTGTGCCCAACGCTCAGGAAGCATTTTAATCCCTCTGTTGTAAAATTCTTGTGATTTTGATGCAAAAAATTCGGTCAATGCATTTTTGAGGCATTCTTCATTATTCAATTTCTTTCCAAGAAGAAAGTTTTGCAAAGAACGAAACAAATGGTAATCGAAAGGGGCAATATCAGGAGAATATGCAGGTTGAGGGAGAACTTCCCATTCCAACTGGCGCAGTTTTTCAGCAGTGATTCTTGCAGTATGCGGTCGTGCGTTATCGTGGTGAAGAATTACGCACTTCCGATTAATCAGCGAGGGTTCTTTTTCTCTTAAAGCTTGGGCTAACCTTTCCAATTGGGCACTATACACTGCACTTGTAATGGTTTGGTTAGATGGTAAAAGTTCATCATGAAGAATTCCTTTAAAATTCCACCAAACACACAACATCACTTTTTTCGCATGCAAGTCAGGTTTTGGCGTGGGCTGTAGAGCCTCATTTTTGTCCAACCATTGAGGCCGCCTTTTCAAATTAACATACAGCACCCATTTTTCATCTCCGGTAATAATTTGCTCTAAAAACGGCAAACGGTTTTGACGAGAGAGGAAGGAGCGAACTGCAAATTGTGACTCTTTGATTACGGTTGTTGTCGGTCAACTCATGAGGAACCCATTTTCCAAACTTTTGGACTTTGCCAAGTGCACGCAATTGAATGGAAATTGTTTTTTGTGAACAATTTCGCAAGCTCTTGTTGGGTAATTTGAGGATTTTGCACCAAAAGAGCTTGAAGAGCTTCTTGATCAAAATTGGACACACGGCCTCGACCACTCTTGTCATCTAACGAAAAATTTCCCTCGCGAAATTTCTCAAACCAACGCTGGCATTTTCTGGCGCTAACTGCATCTTGACCAAGAGCACTACAGATGTTTTTTGCAGCCTCACTTGCTTTTCTTCCTAATTGGAACTCGTAAAGCATGCAGTGCCCAATATGCTCTTCATCCGCCATCTTCTTAGCCCTAGTTTTGCAACAAAAACCAAACCAAAGACAAACTTTTTCAAGCAAAACTTGTTAATTGCACTTCACACGTTCTGTAGATACCACGTGTTTGAAGGTTATGTCAATACAAGTCAACACCAAGCAAGATTTTAAACGAATGTTTAAAACGACATTAATTATTACTAGACCCGATAGTTTGAGATTGCTCTGTGCTCACACTTGAAATGCAGACCTCCTACCTTCATCATTCAAGACCCAGCTCAGAACCTTCTTCTTGTGTAAGAATCTCCCTGGCCAGTGATCTTTGACTTTTCAGTTCTGGTATCACTTCCTCATGTTGGTGCTGTACTTCATCTCTACTTCTAATGTTATATCCTAACATTATCCATTAAGTTGAATACTTAGTAGCCTGTTATTTGTTTTGTTTTTACTGATCCTCATCCTCCTTAGTATCTCCCACAGTGCCTTATACATACTTTGTACTAAAAATTTTTTTTTAAAAAGTGATGTCAAAGTGCCAGAGTACTTTATAGTGGATTTTCAGATCCATCTCAGCTGGAGATGGATACTACAGTGGATAACAGCACAATTAACATTTATTAGGAGCTTATTCTAGCACCAGGTACTGTGCCCAGTACTTTACATCAGATCACATAGATTGTTTTTAGCAGCAAGTAACTGAAAATCCCAGTTGAAGTCCTAACCAATAAGAAATCTTTTAATCTCACAAATTGAGTCCTAACTTCTACAGTTGTTTAGCTCACCAGCTCAGTGCTCTCATCAAAGTGCATTCAGCCACTGAGCCTCAACAGGTGATTTCTGTCCCCAGCTGTCCCCTCGTGCTCACAGATGGGCTACAATAGTTCAGAGCCTCACGTTTTTATATAATAGTGTCCAGAGGCAGAAGGAGCTGTTTTATCCTCACCGAGAGAAAAGAACCTTATCTAACGTTAACCCATTTTCCCCTCGGCTGTAGGACTGTCCCAGACTAGCACTGGAGTCTTTTTCTGTTTACACAGAAGTAAATAGGGAGAGGACAGTCCTTAGACCAGCAAATAAGTGTGTGCCACAGGTACACTCTCTCATTGACCCTCACGTCAGCCTAACGTTGTTACAATCCCATTTTCAGCTAACGGAACTGAGGCTCAGGCAAGAGAAGTTGCCTTGCCCAAGGTCACACCGCTGACTGGTGAGGGGACTTTGAATCCTGGCCCCATCACTTTAGGTGTGTGTGTTTTTTAAATTATGCAGATTAATAATTATATCTGTGCTTTTTGAACATTAAAAATCAGTCTGACAGGTATAAATGTTTATGTTCTCCCTGCATCGAAGGCTCAGTATATTGTAAACAACCTAATCCTGTCTCTTCTACATTAGTGTGATCAGTTCTCTTCCCACAGTATCTTGTGGTTTTGGAGCCCCAGGAAGTTTCCATATGAGCCCTAACCAGTGTTGGCCATTCTCAGTTAGTAGGTCCTCCTTGTACACACGCACTATGCCCCTCTCTAGCTCTGTTTTTCTCTATCAAGAAATACTAGTCTCTCTTGTACTAAATATTTTACCTGTTCATTTTATTTTCCTTTCCCATAATGTAAGCTCCAGGAGGACAAAAGGTTTTGTCGATTCTGTTCACTGTTGTAACTGTAGCTTCTGAAACAGGGCCTGACATTTAATAGGTGGTTAGGTGGTCAGCAAATATTGGTTGAGTTAATGAACTAAGACTTGGCATAAGAGGTTACCAAGGGGAAATTATAAATAATAAATACTATGCGATATTTGTCACTTTTTAAAATGGTATATTTTTTTAACTTGTGAAAAATGATTTTCTCTTATTTTTTTTTCTAGGGACAATCCAATTGGTGGGAAAGCATCTTAGAGTTTGACCAATTGATTCAGAACTGGAAAATATTATTTTCGTTGGAGTTTTTCAATTCAACATGTTTTTGTTTATAGTATTTAAAAATGAACATTGGCTTCAGTGTCATCTGCATTCACTTTGTATTTAATATTTAATAATTGGAATCAACTGTTTGGGGATCCTGTATTGATGTACTGAAATTGATGAATTTTAAATCCAAGATTCCCTTTATATCTGTGTATCGAAAGCCATGTTTCTGCAACTTTTTTTAAATAGAAAGAATCTTCCTAAAGAAGCTTTGTAACAAAAGGAGAACTCCGCACCATCTCTTTTTGTAACACACTCCGTGTTCTGTGGACTTTTCACTACCATTAGTGCCTGCTCTATACTGCCAATGTTGTGTTGTTTTCCTAGAAAATCCCAGCCAATAACTCAGAACTTTCCATTTACTTAGTTCACCTAGACCCTCTGCCTCAAAAAAGAAAAAAAAGAAAATACAAGATTTTCCTTTGGTCCATTAGTCTTACAGATTACATTAAGAGCAGCGACAGAAACTTTGGAAACTGCCTGTTTAAAGTTGTAAACAGAACTCAGAGAGGAGGAACCAGGGAACATGCACTGTTGGGTGCATCTTGTTTACATTTGGGATGAATGGTGGCAAATGAAATAAAATGAGACCACTAAATTTTTTTTTCATTGTTTTAAATATCAGGTACTCATTTTCTTGATTTGAGAGTTCACTAAGGACATTTTTTCTGAAAAAGGAGAGAGTAAACAGTGAACGAAGGTGGTGGGGAAAATCACTCAACTTCACCTGCTACTCCATGCTGTGTCATATAAGGGCCATCATCAGGACGCCCTCTCCTAGTGTGACTGTTACCAAGTTGAGAGCCAACCCCGGAACAGCCGCCCAGCGCACTTTAATAATCTGGGCTGCCAGACCCAGGTTATGCTTTAGATACTCTGTGGTGTCTAATCCTTATGATCAGTTCAATGATCGATGTTTAAGTCTAGAAATAGTGCTTTCCTGAAAATGTTTATATTTCATTGCTATTTCCTTACTGCCTGCTAGCCAAATGGAATTTGGGCAAGCAGCTGTTTGAATCCTGTTTTATCCTATTAATTTACCTTTATCCTAAAAACCGTAACTGTAAATAAGCAATCGAAGCAAGTTGCCAACTTGAAGTCAAGAGGGACATACTTTGCTTCATCAGTATTAAAAACACGGTACTTTTATTTTCGTCTTTTTAAGTTGAAACGTTTTCTAAATGTGGTACTTTGAACCTTGGAGTATTTACATGTTTCGGTTTAAAACTGTGACTTATTAATGTAAGTCTGCCTAGTACTGCTTTTTTTGTTTGGCTCCCAAGGGCCTCATTCCTCTGCCGTTACCTATGAGTACTTTGATTTTTACTACCTGATCTGCTTTCTCTGCCTTTTCCACACTTGAAAAAATATATGGCAGCTCACTTCACCCTAAAAACCTGGGAACCCCAAGAAGGAGAGAAAAGAACAATACAGACTACTCTTGCCATAAATGCCAGTTCTGGTTCTTAGAATAGCCACTTCTACCAGTTAACATTGAGGTGATCTCTTACTTGTTTTGTTGTTATTGTTTGTTTTGTTTTTGGTTCAATTTTGTGTTTTAATATTCATTTAATAAGATGATGGCAAAGTTTCCACTCCCAGAAATGCAATTTATCAAATTGAATGATTTTATTTGCCAAAGAAATATGTTTATAATATAACAGGTTAAGTGTCAAATGAGGCTTTCCTTATTATTCAAAAAAAAAGTGACAAATGCTGTGGCTTTTGTCTCTGATTTTGAAGCCTAATTTTATATATTTACCAGAAAGGTTCATTCATACCAGGTTTTAGAAAACAGATTGTTTTAAAAGTAAAAGCACCTTTAATTTGTCCTAACGGTACATACTGTAAAGCACACCTGAAAAGCTCTGTTGCATTCTGTAAAGACAGAATGCAACAGAGCTTTTCAGGTGTGCTTGCTGATATGAAAAATACAGGACTTATTCTCAAGTCAAATTACCAGCCTTGGTTAATATTATTGGCTTCCATTTTATAACTTGGAAATTAATATGTTGCTAGTAAATATCGGTTTTTACAGTGTCCACTTTTAAAATGTAAGTTATCAAAACTTAATGTAGTGCATTTGTGTAACCATATTGTATTATTGAGAATGTATTTTTATTTAAATTTTATTTTCTTATCAAGAGTATTATAAAAATTAAAAACTTTTGTAACTGTTGCTTGGAAATAACTCAAATAAATTACAAGGGGCCTGTCTGTTCTTTGTGAGACCTTACTTTCTTACTAATTCTTGTTTAAAATAGTACCTCGCTTATTATTAGTAAGGGAATGATGGAAGTGAGGAATTCTCAGTTACTAAGAAAACGAAGCAGTTGGAAATGGCTCAGTATTCTTGCATTTAACCAGGCTGATGTTTGATAGACTGTGGTCATTTTTTGTTATTCATTCAACAGACTTGTTTTGAGGGCCTACCGTGTGCCGTGCAGGGCCCTGTCATTCCTTGGACCATGCACACCTGGTGTTCAGGAATATATTTCACTCCTGTCTGGGTAAATAATTTAGAGCTGAGTGTTCAGCCTATGTTACCTTTTTTGAAGAATCTCACATTCTACTCTTCTCAAAAAGGTTGACTCCGTAGTCTCTGGTGGCTCAGGTGCCACACCGACTCTGCAGGTGAGCCTGCAACGGAGCTCAACTTGCCGTGCATCCTTCTGGGTGTCGGGGTCCGATCATGTCCTGCCACTTTGCTGATTTGTCCAGAGAACATAGAGTGACATTCCCCAATGCTGGTCAGTCACTTTCTTGTACCCCCAAAGTGAGCAAGAATCCTTCCCGGTAGAACCTCAATAGCACTCTGAGAATCTCTAAATCAACCTTCATAAAACAGCCCGCATGACTCCAGAAGAGGTTAAGGTTAATAAGGAAGAAAGAATAAGGTTCTGAATCTCTTAAGGATCTTATTTTATTGAAATAACAGATCCCAGCTCAGACGGGCCCATGTTATCAGAATAGAGCTTGTCAGAAATATTAAAGAATTAGGGTTCCACACCATGATGTAAACAGAAGAAAAAGGGGGTCATAATTTAGTGGGGTTTCCTCTCCAAATTGCGTGATTCCAAAATGAGAGAGAACTGAGGCTAAGCAGGGTCCCTTTATGTGTACACAGAGCCTGGCTCTGCTGTGTCTGGTCTCTGCGGTTTCTCTTCTGCTCTAGGCCAATGGCCAGAGCTGACCCGTAGAGAAGAACCTGTCTTGGGTAGACATGATGTGCTTCGAAATAAACTGACCGGTCTTTAGAGAGTTGATATCTCATACACATCCTCACCTGAGGTCCGGTCTTTTCATTCTTTGGCATGTCATTTTGCATTTGACTTCTTAGTTTGGTAACACCACTTGCTGCCATTTTTTTAAAGTTAAGCCTATATTTTATATTAACAGCAGAGAAGGTGTAACCCAAGTGTGTCAAACTTATGGCCCACAACGAATATTTTTTCGGCCCAGCCAATGTAACCGTATGTAAGAAACGTTTTAATAAACATTTCGTAACTTAATTTTTACAATATCCTGTTACACATAATTATTAACGAACTGCAACATTCGCTAATGACTGGAGACTACAATCGTGTTGCATTCATTTCCTTGCTTTATGCGCAGGTGCGCTATTACTCTCCACCAATACCAGCAACGAATATTTTAGCAGCCGATTGCCACGTCATTAGCGTTGTACTGACTTGTTTGGTGTGCACAACAGGAAATTTTTCCGCTTTCGGAGAACATGAAAAATAGGCTTATTTGCGTATGCATACTAATTTGTGGGATTATTCAGTGGTAATGTTCAAGAATAAATACTAATTTTTATTAAAATGTATTATTTTTGTTAACAATGACTCATTTATTTCAGCCCTTTGTTTTCAGTCTGTCTCTATGGAAATAAACCTACGTTTCTATGAAAATTCAAGTTTCTGTTTTTTTGCAGCCCACATAAACTAAAACCTTGTTTATTTGGCCCGTGTTAGCCTTTGAGTTTGACATGCTTTTGCTCTGACCAGTTTAATTACTAAAGTCCTGTTATTTAGGTTTTTGCCCTGTTTTTCAAGTCCTCTTTGGTTCCATATTATCAAAATCTTTGTACTTTCTTTGTATTGATCTACTTTTAACATGGAATTCAGTCTTAGACACATTTTTTGCTTATCAAGAAATAATTCTTTTATCTGTTGTGAACAATATTGAATGTTTTCCCAATTTAACATATTCCTCAATTCCTCCCAGAACTGAGAAGGCCACACTGCCTGCACTGTCTTTATAAAAGGAAAAAGCCTGGTCGGGTGGCTTGGTTGGTTGGAGCATCATCCCATCAGGGCACTTGCAGGTTCCGTCCTGGGTGGGATCATGGACAGGAGCAACTGATCGATGCTTCTCTCTCACATCAATGTTTCTTTCACACACTTTTCCTTCCTCTCTTTCTAAAATCAGTCTTAAAAAAAAATACACATATCCTTGGGTGAAGATTTTTTTTTAAAAAAAAGAAAGACCCACCATTTTAGACAGATTCTCAGTGCAGGGTAGGTAAGTGACCCCTGGAGAGGCATATTAGCATCTCCTGAGAAGATAGCGGGCCGGCTCCAGGGTGGGAAGGCATACGGTTTAAAAAGTCATCGTCAATATTACGATTTTACACTTAAAAATTCAAACCAACATCTAATTTTGTAATTCAAACAGCAAAAAGGCTCAGCACAGCCTTGACTCATGCAAATGCACAGGTGAAACCTTAATTTTTACTTAGAGGCCCTTTCCATTAAGGAGCCTGAGATATTTGTGTTATTGTGGGACAGTTTTTAAAGTTTGGGAAATACCGACCCCCAAGTCTCAGTCCTAAACTTGACCCCAAATTATGTGTCAGTCGTAAGCGTACAGCCCAAATCACTGAGGCTGGTTATATGCTGGGGCGAGGAGAAAACCTAAGTGAACAA